AGGTGTTGAATAACAATTGCCATAGCTCAGTTCCAGTGTTCCTTAAGCCAAATCTGCAGCTTCTAGGAACAAGTGCTTGTTTAATGTCACACCCTAAAAGGTTTCCTGGGAGGAAAGCCTTCTTTCCTCCCAAGTGGTAAGAATACTGCTCCATGCTGCTGCTGTCATAGTGGCATTTTACAAGCAGTTGAGTTGGGCTGTGTTTATAAGGCTCTTGTTGTTGATTTTACCTTGTGAGTCACACAGTAATGGGCTTCACTCCCCAGGTCAAATGTTTGGCTGCCAGCTGTGATCTTCATCCGACAGCAAAACAAGCATTCACCAGTGTGATGGCCAGGAGTTCAAAATGATGAGCTAAAGCTCAAACACCCGAGTAAGGAGTCCTCCAGGCCCAAAGTCAACATATTTAATTCTCTCAGCTTTGTAACCAACAATACGAGCTATAAACTCGGAGGGCACTCAAAAGTTCACTCGCATCTTGACTATGTCAAGCAGAACGTGGAATGCTGTAGTTTGGGTGTATTGAAGAAGAGTTCAACAGTGGCTGCCTATGCTTTCTCAACTTGCAGGTTTTGTTAAGGATCTTACCTTTGTAATTATGCACATGAAGCACTCAATCCAGACACTCCTCACCACGCAGGGCAATTCAGGAGACAGAAGTGAGTGTTGTAGCTTGAACTCATCTTTAATTATCTGGTGTTTGTTCACACTCAAATCAAACAAACAGAGTGAAATGTCCTACCAGCATAGTCCATAATTCATTACTGTGTTGATTTCTCTCCTAGGCTACAGTGACATCAGTAAATAATAGAAAACTGGATCCTGTCAGAGGAATGAAAGAAGGATTATCTGATGTGGTGGGCAAATGCTCTCCCAGAGACATGATAGCTATGGCAGCCTGCAAGAAAAATAGAGTGAAAGCACATGAGATTTAACTCATCAGAAATGTGAGTTTAATGCAGATTTGTGTTTTTATGTTTTAGCATCTGGAGCTTCCAATGTGTGTGACCACATCCTCCTTAAATTCAGCAAGCTTTTAAAAGCGAACCACAAAGGAAACACAGAACTGACTTATTTAGGGTGAAAGAAAAGCTTTTGTTTTCTGTTATTTTACATGGACACAGCCCCACTTCTTCTGGGTCTTTTGCTATGCAAGCAGATCCTCATTGTCCCAGAGGATGTCTCCCAGTCCTTCAGGCATTACCCATCTCCTGTCTTTAAGCTGCAGTAATAATATCTCCTCTATTCCTGACCCACAGGAATAGAGGAGAAAAATTGTACTAATAGAACATCTGAACAGCCTGGCTGAACAGGGGAGCCAGACTTCACCTCTTCTTTTCTCTGCAAGACAGTAAGAGATCACATCAAGGCATCTCTTTTGATTTTCCATTTCTCAGCCTCAGACTGCATCTGTGAGCTGCTCTTCTGTCAGAGAGAAAACCCATGTGATGGCTATTTAAGGAAGCGGACCACACGCGTTCACACCACTGAGGAGTCCAGGTCCCACAGGAAACCATCAGGTTTTGATTCCTATCTCAGACGATAGGCAGGTACATCACTGAGACCAAAACTTGAGCTTTGTGCAGGTTGATGTTTTCTGAGCCACTGCCCCAGCAAAAGTCTCAGGGAATGCAAAAAGCCACTGCCAGGATGCCAGCCCATTGCCAGTGCTCAATTTCCACAGCTCCACTTCCTGGATGCCATCTTCAGCAGTGCCATATAGGAACAGTGACCACAAGAGTGGCCTTTTGCCAAGAGACAGGGTGATGGAGATAAACACGGATTCTTTGGGCTGGGGATGGCTGTGCTGAACAGCAGATGGTGCAAGAGGAAGCATAGCCATCAGGATAGGCCAGCGTTTTTCCTAGATGATGGTGAGTCAAAGCCAACAAGCTGTTGGCTCCTGCTTTACGTGGTGTCCAGTCCAGGAGAACAGAGAGGACTGGTGGCAGAGGGTTGAGCTGTGAATGTGGGAAGGTCAGCAGAGGAGGGAGAGCCTTGAGGCAGGAAAGCGATGCTTAGGAAGACGTGCTGAACTCACTCTAGACTGGGTGGGGCAGAAGACCAAAACATGAATCAGCTACTGAGGCTGAAAGGAAGCTAGTCGTGGTCATTGGAAGTTGGCTGCCACTGACTCGTCTCATTGCCAGCCAGTGCAATGCAAGCTGGACAGGATATGCCTGGCAAAAATCCTGCAGAAGTTGATTAAATCATCATGCTTTTGCTGCCCAAAGCCCTTCCCACACCTTTTCTCTGCAGTGGCTTGTGCAACAATTCTCTAACACCCTTCAGCATCTCCCAAGCACCTTCTGATTACTGCTATCCAGCTGTCAGACCGCAGGGGAAGAGTAAGGGAAGATGGAGCACTGTGCTGACTATTGCTTCTGCACTGAGATCTTTTCTGTTTTGCCATGCAGGGTGTAAGAACAAGGAGGACTAGAGAAGTGAACCACAGTGGAGGAGAACCAAAGTCACCAAGAACTCCTAGGGCACTCTTGCTGCCCCATGGGAACCAGGGAGGATGAATTATGAGTTTGACTTGTTCATTTGACTATGGGATACCTGGTGGTCCTGGATGCAGCAGTGTTATAGGAAAACTCTGGCCATGTTCTGGAGTGATGAACCTGTCTTAACACAGTTCTCAGGAGACTTGTCTGTGGTAGGGCTCTCCACTGGTGCCAACATATCCTCCAGTGTCTTTCAAAGAGATTATCCATCACCACATGCTTCTCCAAGTTTCTAGGTCAGCCCTGGTGGCCATGGGTAGGGTGGAGCGTAAGCCTCAAGTTCCCAGCCATTAAGGGTCACCACTGCCCACCTGGGAGGTCAAGTCACCATCTGGGGCAGAGTAACAGATACAGACTTTGGCCTCCCTTAGTTACTGTTTTCTGCTAGAACAGTGAACGGCTGGTGAGTGATGTCAGTCTGTTTCTCCCAAATTTAAGAAACAAAAGCGTATGAATTCACCGCAGTTGAACTGAACTTATATCAAATGTAAAGATATATTATCATTGTTAGTGATTATTTCTTCTCCTCAAAGCATGCTGGGCATCTAAAAGATATCTAAAAGCCAAGTTGTTTTCTTCATGTCATTTATAGAAAAGGAGTCTTCTGGGACAACCAAGGTAGACTCTCAACCCCTCCTCCAGCCCTTGCATGGCAGTCGTTAGGCTCTGGTTCAGTATGTAGGGCCAGGAAAACTGAAACCCAATCGCAGACTTCAGCTTCCTCAACTCTAAATGATAAAACAGGAATCTTACCAAAGCACAACTTCATGAAAGGCAAGGCAGACAAAAAGATTGACAAAATGGCATCATAAACAACTAAGCAAGCCTCATTTTTCCCAAGGATCCCAAGTTATCAACGGCCTCTCTCTTCTAATTTCTATGAGCCAGCTATCAGCCCTTTCCTAGGTTGTGTCATGAAAGAGGGAATTTCCTAATGAAGCTCCTGGGGCTATGATAGAATGACTGAAAGAGTTGGGATCACATGTGGAATTATAGAATCACAGCATCATTAAGCTTGGAAAAGACCTCTGAGATTCCTAAGTCCAACCATTAGTCCACCCCCACCATGCCCACTGACCACATCCCTCAGTGCCACATCTCCATGGCTCTACAAACCTCCAGGTAAACACCACCACCTCCCTGGGCAGCCTGTGCCACTGCATCACCACTCCTTCTGAGAAGAAACTGCTCATAATATCCAATCTGAACCTTCCCTGGGGTGAGATGGCATAGCAAACGGGTTGGTAGATAACAGAGGAACCAGGATGAGAGACAATGTGAACTCCTACCAAGTGGAGAAGGAGTCTGAGGGCCTCAGCAGGAAACTGCCAGTGGCAGAGGGACCATCCTTGCTGGCTGGAGGTTTACCTGGCCTCCAGATGGGGACCAGCCAGCAGTGGAGCTATGGGAAAGATGGGGCTGCTCCACGCTTCTGCACTGCAGCCAGCTCCGTGCAGTTCATCTCTCCAGATTTCCTGGTATTTGTTCTCTTGTTCTGGGAAGAGAGGAGAGCTGCAAGAGGCCCTTCTCACAGGGATGCGTAGAGAAAGGAAAGGCCATTGTGTGAAAGAATTTGGTATTTCAGGGTTTGTTTTCCTTTTGACACAGTACAAAACAGCACCATGTCAAAACCCTCCATAAGTCAAAACATAACAACAACAAGGAAGAACAACAAAAATAACAGTGGTGTTCATTTTGGATATGATCGGTGGAAGTATTTCTCTTTGCTTTTTGTCTTTTCCGTCTCGAAATGTCTACAACTGCAACTATTTCAGGAGAATGGGAAGAAAAAAATCATAGAATTGTTTGAGTTGGAAGGGACCCTTAAAGGTCATCTATCAAACTCCCCTGCAACAAACAGAGCTAACAAGAGAGCCTTTCCCAGCATCAAGGTAGGCTCAGCACTGCCACAGCCCTCCTGCCCACCTCCGTGGATTCTTCATGTGATGGCACTGAGACCCAACCATCTCCCCTCCTCTTGGAAGCAGTGCAAGCCATAAGCAGCGGCGCCCTGGGTTTTACACGAGGTCTCCTTTAGCAGAAGGACTTCTGCACAGCACAGGCAAGAAGTTAGAAAGGTTAGATGTGAGGCTGCACGACCAGCAATGGGGAATCGTGAATGCGTGCAGTGCTTTGGGTCAGACCCTCCACGTAAGGAGCTCCTGGGCCAGCTCCCCGATGCCCTGTGTGGGTTCATGCATCTTCCTCGTGCTTTCAGCCCCCAGAAGGATGCTGTTTCGTGGCCACTGGAGCTCAGATGAGTTCCCCCCATGGAGCAATTTGCAGTGCTGGTCCCTCCAGCTCACTGCTCGCTGCCGCTTCTCCCCGCCAGCTTTTGCAGAGCGCTTGGCGCGGTGCCCGGCAGCCTTTCACTGCTGCCTTTTCATTCCCCTTAATTCACTGCCTTTCCTTGCAAGGAACAGAGGGAGAGCTTGTTCCAGCAGACGGGCCCCATCCGCTCCTCCCGTCCGAGGGCTGGGAAGAAGGGATGGAGGCGAACGAACTCTCCCACCCCTCCGGGGCCCCGCGGGCGCGCTGCTTCCCAGAAAATACGGTAAAAAGCCTTCAGCCTAAAAATGTAAGTCTGATCTCATGACACAGGGTGGCCCTGCATTCCTCACCTCTGACATAACCCGCTGGGAGTGTGCTCGCGGAAAAACACAAACAAGATGTACTGGGGCGGCTGGCGGCAGGGCCAGGCGGCTGGCAGATGTGTGGGGTGGGAGAGGAGCCCCTGCTGCCCTGCAGACCATGAGCACAGAGCGTTCTTTGGCGGTGCACGAGCCCACGACTTTGTTCACCCACCTTCTTCCCCCAGCCCCAACCCCATGCTGGGGTCGGTAGAATGGTAACGGAGTTGGGAAGCACACAGAGGGGAGCTGAGCTCCCCCAAGGGGTTTTGCTGAGAGTGTTTTTAGGGACTTGTGTTTTTGCAGTGAGTTGGTGGTTGTTATTTGTTGTCTTGGTTTGGAGTTTTTTGTAAGGCTGTGGTGAGGAAGAGGTGGTGGGAAGAGGCTGCTGGGGTGCCCTGGTTGCAGTCTGCACAGGGTCCCTTTGGGGCACAACCAGAGATTGTGACACCAAAACCCCCACACAATAAAACCTGTGGATCTGGAGTCTTCTGCTTCCCCCAGGAAATTGCTCAGCACCATCTTATAACCTCCTGCTCCCAACAGCAGTGATGCCAGGGCGTGCATCTGCTCTAAGTGCACCATGCATAGGTGCAAGCTGTACCCCAAAGAGCACCTGTGGGTGTCATGGGGCAGCGATTCCTCCCTTGTGCATACGGAAAGGTTTGCCAGGGATCACAACCGAGCTGTCCTCCCATCTCACCCACTTGTTTACTTTCTTCTGCAGATGCCCTAAACCTTGACGACGACCTATTTTCCCTTCTGTTGTGCAAAGCTTCTTTCCTAGAAAGCGGCTTTGCAATTCTCGGTCCAACCAGCCGAGCTCTCCTCAGCATGTGAGCAGGGAATCCAGCTCCAAATGGCTGGCAGGTTTAGCTGAGCTCCAGCACACCCCGAACCCACACGCAGATGAGCTGGGAGACGTGGTCGGATGCTACCTGAAGCTGTCCTGTGAGACTGCCTGCTCCGAGGGAGCAGATGAGCAGCAGTCAGCCTGCGGACCCAGTGCTCACAACTCACTTTTCCTTATTTCTCATTCATCTGTTTGCTTCTGCTGCAGCAGACAGCAGAGCGAGGAGAAAGCTTTTCTTTCCTGCAAGGATTTCTCCCCTCTTTCTGCTCTCACTGTTCCTGAGCAGAGAAAATACCTGATTGTCTTTTTTTTTCTTTTGATTTCCCATTTTGAAAAAAAGGGATTATTTCCTAAATAATTCTCCCCACAATAATTCCTAGTTTTCAGGGTGACTGCTCCTTTGGCAGGGGGAAAACAAGAAAGAAGAGGAACAAATGTAACAAGAAACAGTGGTAACAAGAGAAACTACTGTTCAAATTGGCTTCTGCAGAGCACAGTTTGCACCCAGAGCAGCACCGTGCTTTGCTCATGGCTCCCATCCTCTTCTCAGCTGCCCCTTTGCCCAAGGGCTCTTTATCCTTGCTGCTTCCCAGTGCCAGAGTCGTGCTTGGGTTGACAGCAGCACAGGTGCTGTCTCCTTCTCCGCTCACTTAAGTTTTCCACTATTTATTTTCTTCTCCATCCCTAACCTACCACCCAGGGTTTTTTTTAAGTTAACTCAAACTCAGTGCTGATTTATTTTAAGGTGCCAGGCTGTAACCTGAAGCCATAGACATAAAATTAGCCTTGCAAGCTCCAGTTAGCCAGCTGGGAGCACAGGTTAGGGATTCATCCGACAGCAGCAATGGTTTGGGTTGAAGATTACTGCTTGCTCCCTCCTGCAGCTTGGCTTTGTAGCCAACCCTGCTCTTGTCCAGATGGATGAACTGCTCTGTGTGGAAGCAAAACACACGGCGTGAAGTCTGATGTACCAGGGACAGGGTCTGTTAATGAAGCAACTTATGAACCTTCCAACACATACACATGCACACACATGCTTTGTCCAAACAGCTGAAGTCACCAAACTTACCTTTACTACCAGGGCCTCCCAGCATCGTGGTTGTTATGTCCACACTGGAGCATGGCTGCTATATGCATCCGACCTGTAGAGATGCTGGAGGAGACCCGGGTCACCCAAATGCCAGAGAAATGACACATTTGTGGTGCATCAGCACTTTCCTTGGCTGGAGATAGCAAGGTACCTGTCGTGAAGTGTGTGGAGCTGAGAAAGCAAAGGGATGTAGAGGCCTATTGAAACCCTCCTAAAAAAGTGTTACCAGTCTGAGATTATAAAGGGAGTGAGCTACTGGGAGCACTAACTGATCTCCTTGCTGCTCGGGAAGCCATAGGACTGGTGCTTGGAAGAACAATTGATTCTCCTAAGTGTCCTGACCTTCCCTAGATGTACAACCAATAGTCCGTGTGTGGATTCTCTTGTGTCCATTGTCATAGATTGGCTTGGGTTGGAAGAAACCACAGAGACCATCCAGTTCCAGCTCCCTGCATGGGCAGGGATACCTCCCAGTACCTTCAGCCCAGGGGCTTGACCACCTCCAAGGATAGGTAATCATTTCCTGTGAAATAACATGATTCCTATTGTAACTACACAACTTATGCCTGGAAAACCCAAGGAGTCCTTGACTGAAGCTTTTCTTGGAATTTCAGTAGCCCTGCAAATAATTCTAGATTTGCAGAGGAGTTCTGAACGTGGCATTAGTCTGAGTTGATATGAAATAAAGTGGTCTCTGGGAGAGTGTTATCCAGTCATGGTATTTTTTTTAAATGCACATTGAAATGCAAACAAGTATGGAACTGGCTGATGGGTAGACATCTGTCCTTATTTATGCAGGGATTATTGGGCACCTGGGAACCTTGCTGGTGAGCAGGATCAAGCCCTTGGGCCCCAAGCAAGCAAGTGCATTTGTGTCCCCACTGCAAGCTAAAATGAAGCATCCTTACAGCATCTCTGCAGCCAGTGGGCTGGACTGCAGCTGTGTCTGCTTATCACAGTCAATGTGGTGCATGCAATAACTTCACCCAAAATGCTGAGCAGCCTGTCCATGTAGTCCATCTGGAGGTGAAATTTGGGTACTATGAACACACAGGGAGTGTGATCTTGGCAGATACCTTTATCGCTGAAACAGCACTACTATATCTCCAGTTTCATGACTTTTGTCCATTCCAAAGCCAAAACTGAGAATGTGAATGTAATGAATAACCTCTATTTAGAAGTGTTCTGTGATTGCACCTATAGGCTTAGACTTAAGGTCAAATTACTGATTTAATAACCAGAGGTGCATCAGCTGATCCATGCAACTAACCAACTTCCTGCAGGAGTTACACCATGTTTCCAAAATTGTCATCTCTTAAGCAGTCATTCTGAATGCCTGAGCAACCTGAATGCCTGATGGCATCTGGGGTTGCCTAAAATTCATCCGACAGCTGAAATTCATCCACACTAATGCAGATCTCCTGCCTCGTAGGTGGGACTTGAAGTCTTTCCCAGACTGCACATAGCTGTGCCATGGTTAAGGATGTAATCCTCCAACCTCCTCCTTTTCTGATAGCCAACCACAGAAAGAGAAAGGACGTTATCATAGAGTCATTAAGGTTGGAAAAACCCACTGAGATCATCTAGTCCAACCATCACAACACATAGATCTGTAATATTCAGTTACAAGCTAAAAACTTAAGCATAGTCTCCATGCCAAACTTGACATTTCCTTTCACATTCCCTTCCAACTGAAGGAATCGAGAAAGAGAACACAACCCTGTCTGTAGTTGCTTCTGGGCAGGTAAACCCCATCACGCTTCCTCCCCCCCGCAGCTGGGAAGGACCATCAGATTGATGATGGAAGGTCATATATCATATATTTGCTACTTGTTTTCCACAGAACTGCAGCCCGTGGCTGCCCAAGGATGAAGAACCAGACCCTCAGGGCTCACTTAGAGATGTCATGAACTTGTGGCTGTTGGTGGGTCTCTCTGATGGGCAGAAGTCAGCTGACGAGATGCTGATCCTCATATAGTGTTTGCAAGATCTTTAAGAAGAATTGCATGGCCAGTGGCATTGCATTCGAGTTGTACAGTGCTAGAATGCCCCGACCATCAGAGGACCTGGATTTTATGACGCAGAGATCAGTACTGCAAAGATGTGGAGATGTTGTTCATACTGCCTGGACCTGAGCCCAGGGCTTGGGACCAGACCTGTGTCATACCCACACCTTAGAAGACAGCAGTGTGTTCATGTTTTCTTTTTGCAGGCTGAAAGTTTTCCTGGACCAGCTGAACACTTTCTTCTCCTGTAATCTGTCGTGACTGTCAGAGTGCCAAGAGACATGCCAGACCCTGGGCCACAATAGTGCTACAGAATGCCCAGAGAGGAAAGCTGGCACAAGGTAGTGTATAAAGTGGGATATGTGAAGCCACTGGCAAATAATCACATGGGTCAGTTAGGCTTGGCACAGGGCAGAGCCTGTCTGCTCATAAAGGAAGGCAAAGACAAAAATTCATCATAGAATCACAGAATAATTGAATTATTGAATATTGAATGGCTTGGGTTGGCAGGTACCTTCTAATCCCACCCAGCTCCAATCCCAGTGCCATGGACACAGCTGACACCCACTACATCAAGATGCCCAGTGCCCCATGCAACCTGGCCTTGAGAAGAGTTGGGGGACTTCTTAGTGAGAGCTACAAGGGATTAAACAAGGGCGATTACTCCAGAAGGATTGAGGTAAAGGACACAGTGTTGTCTCAGTGGGGCCACAAACACATTTCAAAATAGATTTTTGCAGAAAGATGTTTCCCACTCCCCAGATATCTTGCTCCCAGCAATGATTCTCATTTCACAGTAAAGTTCAGGGCTTCTTCCTCCTGAAGAAGCATGAAGCTTGCTCACCACTGGTGCAAGGCATGCTCCTCAACTAGAAAGCTAAACCTCAGAAAATGGAAGAGCACAATTCACTCCTCACCGACAGGGAAATGATGCAATGAGTCAGCAAGACAGACCACAGATGCTGTCCAGAAGCATTGCAGCAATTCGTTTGGGCAAGGTGGAGATATATTCCCCCAAAATGAAAGTCTCTGTAGGTTGTTACTAGTGCTCACAGCCATCTAGTCCCTTGCTAAACATTTCTGACCAAAATCCTTCCAAGCTGATCTATTTTCAGCCCAACCCACTTGATACCTTGATTGCTATGCAGCTCTTTTAGCTGCTCTTAGGTAAACACAGTCATTCCCTGGCATTTTGCCTTGCTAAGACCAAAAATATGAGTGGCACAGAAAATAAGAAAAGCTGTTCTCCTCCGCCAGGAAAAATGATGCTATTTCTGAAAGGAACTGTTTTTAATACACCTCACCAACCATGCACATATACACATATGTATAAATATACTTGACCTGGAGGTCCAGTTCCAGTGTTGGCATCTTGTATGCCTATATGGAGACAGAACAGAGAGGGAATTATGTACAGACCGGGACACGCCTTCAGTCCAGTCTACATCTGAATGCAGAATGTTGGTTAAGATAAAATACTGAGATCTGATCCTCAGTAAAGCAGGTTCACAGGGACTGGTCCAAGCTGTGACCGGGGGGTTATGGGCTGTCATGGAGAGCAGCTTCTACCATAGTGACCCATGCTCCCCATACCTTAAACTGCACAGCATCCCCAGGGTTGAACCAGAGCAGGCTGGAGCAGATCAGTGTCAGAGCTCTATCCATAGCAGGCCTTGTTTTTGAGGAATGACAGTGACGTTGGCCAGACCTCAAAGTCATCTTTTTTCAGATTTCTCTTTAGCAAGTAAACACATAGAAGTCAACAACAGATGGAGCATCACATGGAGTTATGCAGGTCAGCGAAGGCTTCGGAAACCCCATGAGTTTGAGGAGGCAATAAATTGGCAGGGGTTGTGGATGGGAAATTATTCTGAGAGATGGAGAAAAAAAAATAGTGGGTTGATCTGTCTCCTCTGTGATGTGCTCAGGTTTTGTGGAAGACAAAGATGGGCAGATAACAAAAGCTCCTCGTTAGGAAGGTTTTTGGGTTTCTCTTTGGCTGCAGGTTGTGAAATTCGAGCAGAAAGGTAACAAACTGATAACAAAACGGGCAGGAGTAAAGCAAAGCAAGTGCAAAACAAAAGCAGATCTTGTGTGACAGGAGCAGATTGAATTGATGTGACAGAGAAGAAGGAGAGCTTTTCCAGTAGCTTATATGGTGCTGCAGGGAGCTGGGAGTGACAAATGAGGAATTTGCACAAGTGCAGAGCTACAGTGTAGGGCTGTGAGTTGAGAAAGAAAGAAAGGAGAAAAGGGAGCAAAGGACACCTATTAATTAGTTAAAAAAAAAAAAACAAAAAAAAAACAAAACAAAAAAAAACCCACATTCCATTTAAGATTTATTGATAACTCAGAGCCAGAGAATCTTTCATGCCTTCACATCTCCGAGCTAACATTACCCAAGGGTGGGAAGTGGTGGGGATCCACTATGAGCCATTGAATTCAAGTGGAAAAGAGCTCCGGTCTTTAATATGCAGAAATTAAAACACTTTGGCTGACAGAGCTTTCAATCTGAGGAACCTGCACTGTAGTAGCAGAATAGCATTAGTGCTCCTGAATACACAGCTGGTAATTTTCGAGCACGAAATATCATGCATTGAAAATGAAATCGCTCCGTTTAGGAGATCAGTGCGATGGGTATGGATGAATTCAATGCTGCATGAAAAATTAATGGTTGCCTTCAGACAGGTGTTGACTAGATGGTGGTGTTCCAAGAAAGGACAGTCCCATCTGGTCGTGGGGAGAGCTATGATGGTGTGAAAAAATAGAGTGATCAGCACAAAGAGCAGCCCATGAACTCATGTGAGAGTTTTTGTTTTGGAGGTGGGGGGCTCAGTCTGTGAGAGAAGTAGGGCTACTTCTACGTAGGGTGTGAATGGAGAAATCTGAGGTAAAATGAGGCTGGATGGTTGGGGATGGGGAGTCACAGAGATAACTGGGAGCTGGAACTGATGCATCAGAGGGAGAGGGCTGAGAAATGCCAGCTAACATTGGGAGTGGACTTGATTACAGCATAGAATTGCCTCTGAGGGGAGGGGATGAGGGGCTGCCTGATCTAGGGGAGAAATATATGATAGCAGTGGGTTGGAAAGCTGGGGTTTGGGCAAATCTGAATGAAAAAGACATTTTAACAGAGATGGTGACAAATGATTAGGATGCACTGGAAGGGCAGCAGCGTGCCTTTCCCCACACCAAACCCTGCGTGCCACCTTGGCAGTTCGTGGAGGCACCTTGAGGTGACCCATCTGGTCCATTCTGCTGGAGGAGGGGACAAGCAGGTCCCAGCTTCCATCAGCTGCTCCTGGTTTGAAGTTTAGGTAGATAAATCCTTATATTTACAAAGCAAGGCTGCCCGCATGCCAAGTTGAGCTCTAAATCAGAAGATGAGCTCCCTGGGGGGAGTAATTGGTATCTTTCATGTACTGCAATTGGTCAGAGGAGTTGGGGATTTTCCTGGCTGCAGCCCACGCACCTCTGCCCATGCTGTGAGAGACGTGCAGGGCGATTTACCTATCGACAGCTCTCAGTGCTGGGTAAATATTTGTCTTATTGTGGGTTTAGCAGTGATAGCTAAAGGGCAGCGGCGAAACAAAGCCCAGGAAAGACCCAGCTCTGATCCAGTGCAGCTGGGGAAGCTGGAGGCTTTCCAGTCTGTGGGTGCTCAGCGTGTCCCTGCCCGGAAGGGGCTGCGGGGGGAGCTGGGCTCGGCGCTGCAGTGACATTTGGAGAGAGCAGGAGGTCACAGAGCTGGAAGCAAACACAGGCGGTGACTGTCCTGCAGTGCACAGCCGGAGAGCTGCCTCTGCAGAGAGAAAACACAGGCAGCACGTCTGAAACCTGTGCTTTGCTTCACTGCACTTTCCTCCCATAAAAAGTCTTTAAAAAAGTACAAGTAAATATTTTTCCTAAATCCTGTTCCCTTCCCTTTTCCCTTCCCTTCCCTTTTCCTTTCCCTTCCCTTTTCTCTTCCCTTCCGTTTGTCTTTCCCTTCCCTTTTTCCTTCCCTTCCCTTCCCTTCCCTTCCCTTCCCCTACCAAACAAATAAAAAACAAAAAAAAACAAAAAAAAAAAAGAAAAAAAAAAAAAAAAGAAAAAAAAAAACGAC